ATTCCAGATGTCTCAAAACGTTGTCATGGCGGTGCATGTGCATCACCTCACCCACCATCATGGCAAGGTCTCACCACCCACCCACCAGTTGAATAGGGAAGGGGAGTCCCCCTTCCTGGCGTGCTCCACACCCACAACTCATCTCAGCTCACAGCCCACATCTCAGCTCACTTTCAAAGCGAGGTCTCACCTCACCACCCACTCACCTGCATGGCAAGGTCGCCATAACCCACCTGCATGGCAAGGTCGCCATAACCCACCTGCATGGCAAGGTCGCCATAGCCCACCTGCATGGCAAGGTCGCCATAACCCACCTGCATGGCAAGGTCGCCATAGCCCACCTGCATGGCAAGGTCACGGATGTATTTGGCAAAGGGCGGGCCGTGGTAGATCACTGCTGTGCCGTTGAACCGCGTCGCACACACCCTCCTCCTGCCACCGCGAACGAGTGAGTGTGAGATTGTGTGAGTGTGTGTGTGTGGGGGGGGGGGGGGGGGGGGGGGGGGGGAAGGGAGAGGGGACGAGAGAGAAGAGAGCGAGGTGAGCTGCTGGATGTATTTGGCAAAGGGCGGGCCGTGGTAGACCACTGCCGTTGAAGCGCATCTCACACTGTCGCTGAGTGAGTGAGTGTCAGAGTGTGTGTGAATGTGGGTGTGTGTGAGTGTATGGGAGTGTGTGTGTGTGACTGTGGGTGTGTGTGAGTGTATGTGTGTGTGGGGGGGGGGAGAGCGGATGGAAAGGAGGAGGGGGGGTGGGAGGAGGTAGAGGGAGAACAGAGAGGCAAGAAGCTGTATGTTCCAAGTGAAGCAATTTCCTCCCCACCATCCCTCTATTAACCATTCTCTCTCCTTCCTTAACCCTCACTGCTTCAACCATCCCCATCCACCAGTCCACCCAACACCCCATATCCCCCCCAACCCCCCATCCCAACCACCTCTGCATTCCTGTTCACATCTCCTAAACCTTTAACCACCTAACCTAACCCCCCACTCACCAGGGCCGGTCATCCTTCCGATGCACAATCTTAGCCTCGGCATAATCAGGCACGTCCCGAAGCTCCCTCCAACTCACACTCCCATCCTCCACCACCAAATACTGTGCCGGGGTCTCGTCCTCCTCCTCCTCTCCCCCTACCCCTCCCTCATCTCCTTCCTTCTTAGGAGGATTCTTCTTCCGAGCGTCCGCCAGGGTCTGCGCGTCTTGGGCGGCGGCGAGCGTCTGTTTCCAGTCGTCCGAGTCAGCAAAGACGATACCCTTGGGCAAAGCCTTGATGATGGCTTTAAGGTCGAAGAGATCCTCTAAAAGCATTTCCGTTTGGGATGTGTTCACTCTGATGGAGTGATGCAGAGAGTGGGGGTAAGGGGAATCGGGGCACTTCTTGTGTGCTGTGCATGGGTATGGGTATGGGTATGGAAATGGGTACGGATATGGGAACGGGTGTGGGTATGGGTATCGGTGTGGGTATCGGTATCGGTATCGGTATGGGTATGGGCATGGGTGTGAGTATGGGTATGGGTATGGGCATGAGTATGGGTATGGGTATGGGTATGGGTATGGGCATGGGTATGGGCATGGGTATGGGCATGGGTATGGGCATGGGTATGGGCATGGGTGTGGGTATGGGCATGGGTATGGGCATGGGTATGGGCATGGGTATGGGTATGGGTATGGGTATGGGTATGGGTATGGGTATGGGTATGGGTATGGGTATGGGTATGGGGAATCAAAGGTTGAGGGCGATTGCTGGTTGAAGGACGATGGGAAGGCTGAGGCGAGGCGAAGGCTTGCTGAACGAAGGGACAGGGGAGATGAAGCACATGAGACTTGGCTTATCAAAAGAGGGGGGGGGAGGAGGGGAAGAGGAGATGAAGCGCATAAGAATCGGCTTATCAAAAGAGAGGAAGAGGTGGGGAAGGGAGGGGAGGAGAGCAGACGGCAGGGAGAGGGGGGCGAGGGGGAGGAGGGAGGGGAGGAGGGGAGGCTGGGAAAGGGTGGAGGGGGGCTGAGACAGAACGCGAGGATGGGAGAAACATGAAGCTGTGGAAGAGGCACGGATATGGTGTGTGTCGGTGGAGGGAAACACGCATGACAGGAAATCAAAGGGGTGGAATGCGGTGCAGGAAGCAAGGAGGCGCTCACATCCTGGCAGCGTCGATGTTGAAGGCTGGGCGGATGCAGATGTGGCGAGGCAGCACGAACGTTCTGGTTGACACCAACATGACACCAAGATGACACCAAAATGACACCAAGATGACACCGAGATGACACCGAGAGTAGCATTATGTAGACGTGGATGAGGGGCATGGAGTGAGAGCAAGTGGAAGAACACTGTAGGGCGTTGTACTTTTGATATGTACGAGGTGGAAACCTCTCAAGTGCATGGTAAGAACCTACAAACGCATAGTTAGTTGCTTCAATCTCGACTTACTTGGTTGCTACAAGTTATTCTACCCCACAATGCGCTACGTTCTCCAACCAGAAGTGAAAACCCGTACAGGAATTTCTTCCATCACTCTCCATTGAGTTCAATCCTCTGTACTGTCGAGGTGTATCAAACAACCTACATCGCATGGTTTTAGGGAGCTGCATGCAAGGCTGGGTGGGTGGGTTAGCTCACCCAACTAATTTTATGCTTTCAGGCTTTTTATCTCAGAAACTCACCCCATTCCGCTGCATTCAATCCTCTAATTTCTGCTGCTGTCTAACGGAGTACCGTACCTGTTGGCCAGCACCGTACCTGTTGGCCAGCACCGTACCTGTTGGCCAGCACCGTACCTGTTGGCCAGCACCATACCTGTTGGCCAGCACCGTACCTATTGGTCAGAAGCGCCTCCTCCATCGCACACCGTAGGCTGGAAAGCTGCATACGCGGACGAGGGCAAGCGAGAACGAGTCAATCAGTCTCGGAATTTGCTGCACTGCATTCTTGAGAGAGATTACCTTACCACTCGAACAACAATATCGCGTAAGGGAAAGGAGAGGAGAGAAACGAGAGGAAGCGAGACGAAGCGCAGCGCAGCATGCGGAAGCGAGAGGAGAGACGAGGGAGAAACAAGCGACGAGGGAGGCGGATAAGAACAAAGATGGCCCATCAACGCATATGTAGCCCGAATGCGATGAATCTGGAACACCCCGGATATCTCGTACTACAAAAATAGAATTCAAGCAACAAATTCTTAATATCAAAGAAGAAGACAAACAAAGCATGTACCTGTTCGTTGACGCTACCGCAGTCGGTAGTTGTGGAGTCGATCATGTCTCCGTAGTACAGAAACCGCTGTTCGAACAAATGCTTCACGTGATGATGCGACTTCTGAGACGTCTCACAAATCGAGTACCTGTTCGTTGACGCTACCGCAGTCGGTGGTCGTCGAGTCGATCATGTCTCCGTAGTACAGGAACCGCTGTTCGAACAAATGCTTCACGTGATGATGCGTGTCCGCCGTTAAGCTCCCCACTTTCTTCCCCGGCAGGCGAAGATTCAGCGCGATCAACGCGTGGTTCCCAATGCCGGTTCCAGTTTGCTGGAGTTTCACGAGAGCGGAAGACACGCTGCGATGCTCCGTTAACTGAAGGACAATCACTGCGCCTGAAACGAAAGCGAAGATGACGATAACGAGTATGGAGCAGCATTGAGTGGTGGAAAGCAAGGGTCTGTTTCCGGCTGAACGAGTGGCGTAGATTGATGGAGATCCGGGATCCTCCGCGTCTTGATGTCGCATGCGACGCCCGCGACCGACTTTGGCCTCGCGTGTGCGACTCCCGAGAGCGACGCCGCCGCTTGGCTTAGCCACTCGCGTGTGAGGCTGTGACGACATCCCGAGGGGAAAAAAATCGTAAAGCTGAGACGTTCTATAATAAATAGGACAGGGACAGACACTATGGCTTGTCAGAACAATCCAGCACTACAAAGAGACCACGATGAGACGTGCATTATCGAACGACTAACTAACAATGACAGTACTTCACAACTACAAAACCTAACAAATAGGCGACATTTCTCGTTTCAGAGAAAAATGACGATGGAACGAACATATGGGGCAAGGCTAGAGGTAGTTTTTGTTTGCTTAGTGTTCGTTTAGCACGGTGCAATACGTTACAAAGCGGTTGAAACTGACTTCTATTTTTCACCGCATTCGACCATTGTGCACCCAGGTAAACGACATAGCATGAACTGACCAGTGACCAGATCAGAGAGGCTGAAGAAGATAAGGGCATGGCATGGACCACCACCAACCCACCGAGGGATGGACCAACCAGCAGCTGCCCACACCGGAATATCCCAACCATAAAATATTTCTCACCAATAGGAAATATTATAACCCGCCCCTCTTTACCCACACACCTCCTTGATGGAGCCCAGACCAGATAAGCACCGAACCAAACCATCGATCTGGGGCCAGCGGTTTGGGCGGCTTTGTACGGAGTGAGGTTGGGTAGGAAGGAAAGCCGGCGGGGTACAGGCGGTGCGAACGAACTCCACAGTTTGGGAGAAGGACCAATTTCGAGACCTGATCGTTTATGAACCATGGATACTCCACAGCAGAGTACAACACCGATCTGAAACGCACTCAGCACCAGCCTGAAAGGCTGGAAACCGCGCGATACACACACTTCGGTTGTATATTTAGGTAGTGAGAGCATACACTGTGAGAACCTCGCTCTATGACCAACTAAACAGCACAAATGCTTTTGATTAGGGCTAGCCAAATACGTGTGACGTTAAGCAACCTGTCTATGGACCTATGCTACTTAGGAGAAGAGATGCACATCCTATTATGGCCCTTGAAAAGGCCAGCAGGGACCTAAGCACTGACCAATATTGCGTCTCAAATGCTCTGCCCGTATTCTTTCCTCGCTGTCTCAGCATATTCTCCTCCCATCAGCTCCAGCATTTCCTGCCTGCATCATGAAAGCACCATACGGCCAAGTCATTCTTCAACATCTCCTATGCCAGCACAGAAACACAGCGAATCGGGGATAGGTAGGTACGGACGAGCTTACCAGAGTGGTTTGGGGAGCTGCAAGCACTGTTTGAGCACGAGGCTTCTGGCACACGCTGCAGTGTACCAGAGACCCGCATCCACCTCCTCCTGAAGCTTGCCTGCTGGCCACTCCACTTGCCTGGAATTACCTCCATGAAGCAGTGAGAAACAGGGAACACGGGAATAAGGAAGTCCAGAGGAACAGTCAATGATACCAGGCGGAAGATTCTGCAGTAACTTCACTGGTCCGATAACCAGGAAGGCCAGGACATACCTGATAAAGAATCCGAAGTCAGACGGAGGCATGTTGCCTAGAATAAACCTCTGACTAGAAGTAAGTGGGAGGCATATTGTCTAGAGGCACCTCAAAGGCCTGGACATACCCGACAAAGAATCTGAAGTCAGACGGAGGCATGTTGCCCAGCAGCACCTGCTCCGCTGCTGCCTCCAGCCCTCCCATATACACCCCGGGCATGAGCTGACGGGGTAAAGGGCACGAGGAAGAGAAGGAAGTGAGGCATGCTGAGGGGGAGAGGAGAGAGGGACCCTCTAGAAGCACCTGCTCTGCTTCTAACTCCAGCCCTCCCTTGTACACCCTTGGCACGACCTGAAGGGGCAACGGGAACAAAGAATAAAGTGACGTGTAGCACGGCACAAACACTTGCACGCATGCACCTCACTAGCCAGCAAGAGGCTGTGACCGTGCAGAAAGAGAAGCATGCCGCTCAGAAGCAGGGGGGTTGAGAACGGAGCTTCTAAGGCATGCACACATGGAAGGTCTGGCTGGCTTTGCAGGAAGCACAGAGTGTTGCATGGAAGAAGGGATGCGGAGGGAACGCATGCACACAGTTCACACGCTCTCACCTCCTTAGCCCCCGGCAGGTCATGGCCGTGCAGGAAGTAGAGAGTGCTGCCGTCCGACTTGAACCCGCCAATGTAGATGGCGTTGCGTGCAAACACCGCCAGCGATGCCTCCTCCACCCTGTTCACCTTCGCTAGCGCCTGGTTAAGGAGAAAGGCGGAGGGGGGGAGGGGGAAAGGGGAGGGGGGAAGGGGGAGGGAAAGGGGGCACACCAGAAGATGGGAAAACGCCACCAGCGCTGCATCCTCCACCCTGTTCACCTTTGCTAGCGCGTAGTGGGGTGGGAAGAGGGGGGAAAGGTGTGTGAGGAGGAGGAATGGGTGGGGGTTTGGAGGGGGTTAAGGAGAGAAGGGGGGGTTAGGAATGGTAAGTTGGGAAAACAGTTCCAGCACGGGAGGGGGAGGAAATGGGGGCTTTCAAAGGGGCAATAAGGTAGGAAAACGTTCAAAATGCTCTCAACATTTGAATGCTCTCATCCACCAAATGCGTTCACCTTCTGAAACCCCTCACATTGCGTTCACCATCTGAACCCTCACACATTCCAAATGCTCTCCTCGCTCTCACTCCGAATGCGCTCACCGTCTGAATCGTGTATCCTGACGGTCGATTCAATAGCAGCCCCCACGACTCCCAGCCCACCCCCCCATGCTCCACCAGAAACACCGCCGCCTGCCACAACCGCCTGTCCAGCCCTCTCACATTTCCAACGAGCTCACTCACCATCTGAATCGTATAACCCGACGGTCGGTTTAGTAGCAGGCCCCAGGACGCCCCGCTCGCCCCCCCATGCTCCACCAGAAACACCGCCGCCTGCCACAACCTCCTGTCCAGCGCGCCCGCCCCCCCTCCGCGCCCTCCATCTCCACCCTCCGCCCCCCCTTGCCCGGGGAGCTGGGAGAAGGGCGCGGCGAGCAGCACGCCCCCCGCCTCCGCGCCCCCTGTGGAGTGCACCCAGGGGACCTCCTTGGCCAGGCGCGGGTTCTGCGAGGCCAGCAGCGCCCAGTTCTCGAGGCTCATGCGGTCCTGGGGATGGTGATGGTGCAGTGAGGGGGAAAGAGGGGTCAGAAGAAACGATTGTTGAAATGTGTGAGTAGAGGAACCAGAAAGCAGACAAAGAGGCCCCAGTTTTCCTCCTCAAGTTACTGTCTGCACCAAGCCTCGCACCGATCCTCGGTTTTCCGTCTGGGTTTCAGACCCACCTGCACCAACTCAGGGACCACACCACAAGCCAGTTCGTTACGCGTCTAGAACAATCAAATCCACCTACGGCACCATCTACAGCACCGCACCTGCCAAATCTCGAACCACTTGCTTAAGCCCCTGAAAAGAACCACACCAGCACCTGAATTCCGCACCTGCCAAATCTCGAGCCCCACCGCCTCCTGCGCGGGGGAGGGCGCGGAGACGCTCCGCGTGGCCTCGTGGCCCGCCACCAGCTTCGCGCGGAACGTCCGCCAGTCCATCCCGCCGGCCTCCGCCGCCAGCGACATTGCGTCGTCGTCGCCCTTCCCGCCGCCGCCGCTGCTGCTGCCGCCATCGCCGTCGCCGCCAGAGGTCTGGCTGGCGTTGATCTGGGGAGAGGAGGAGCATAGGAGCATCGGAGCAGAGGAGGATAGAAGGATGGGTCGACATGGAGCGTAATTGGATCAGTGGAGTGGGAATGATGAGCCTCTCTGTATTCGTGGATTATCCAGCGAGGTAGATCAGCGTTGACAAGCAGCCGGGTGTTGTCGAGAATTCTCAAAAACATCCGTCAACAAGCAGCCGAGTCATCTGCATTTCCGCCTAAGGCAAGTGAATTACAACGACTCGACAATACCAACCACAGCCCCACAGGTCCACTCATCATAATACGGGTAGTCGTAAAGCACGGTGATACCTGCACGAGCCTTCGCGATGTGATCCTGTTTCGCGAATCTCGTCCACGTCCCCGGTTCCCGAGATCAAATCGACCGACCGCCGAGCCCAGATCCGACTGTCGGCGAGCGGATCTCCTGACGGTACCGGTACGTAATGCAGCGGTTGATTGCGGTGACCGTGCTGGATACCGTCGTGACTGTGCTGATGATCTCAAGCGATTGTTTTGCCGGTAGTTTGCCTCTGGTAGCGTCTGTGCGTGGATGCATGTGGATGGAATCCATACGGCCGCGACCAAACCAGCTGTCGTCGCACTCATGACTTGCTGGAGCGTAGTGTTAAATATATGTGGTATTTAGGATGCGTAACGCAATTAGTGAGGAATCTGTAGTCGAGTATTCGGACAGAAACTATCAACGCTAGAGTCAACGAGTAGTTGCGAAGAAGTCACTTATAGTTCACACTAGGCCCGTACTCTTGTATGGGTGAAGGGTGACTAAGCCCAGAAGTACCGCCTACCACCTTGGCTAATCAAGTTCGAGACACTACTCAAGTTCGACGCGCCAATGACACTGCTGATGGTCAGGAAGGCTCCTAACCTAATGGCAGGATGGACTAGTGGCCTAACCTCAACTAGCCGTTTATTACAGATTGTGAGAGAAACTTGAAATTCATTATCCACCACCATATTAAACCGAACCTAGTCCTGATTTATTTCTTAACCACCGTCCACCACCCCTCACTTCATTCAAGAGTCGCGTGTGGGAGAGCAAGACACACGAACCTGCTGGGGATTTGAGGGGCTGACATAGAGGAGGCCTGATTGGCGGACCTGATTTTTGCATCCTTGGTTGTGATTGGCCTCCCGCCCTTGACATTTCGAACCATTCCTGAACGCGTGGCAGCAGTTCACGGCATCCAGTGGTGCATGCTCCCAGATGTCAGGAAAGTCGCTGGTGAGCGTATCGTAACCAGCAAAGAGTCAGCCCAGTCCACGTTGTTTTGATGCAGCTTGAGGCGATTCGGCTATTCCATGTCAGTACACCTAACCACCACTATTTTCAAGGGGAAACCCAGCCCAATAATATCACGTTTCAAAGTTACCCTGCACGTTTTCGACTATTTCAGCTTGACACTTAGATGACTGGGGCTATGAATGACGGCTTATGCTCGAAGTTTTAACTCATTATGCGAATCTGAATCAATAGCGCCACTTTTACAGTACTGTCTTCGGGGATCTGGAACAGACTCTCGCTAAAATTTAATGATGCCCTACACAACCCTCGGTCAAGATTTAGAAAGGGTGCATACCCCACTTGTGCAAGTGGGGTTGAAAATAGACCGAAAGAAAACAGCGGTGGTTAGGTGTATATAAATAGAGAATCAGGTGCACCCGTTATATAAAGCATGGGTGTTACAGAAATTCAATTTCCAATCATTCATCCAGCCAGGTGAACTAGTGGTTAAGAGTATATACAGATCCATCCTTCACTTGGAAAGAGATTGCATGAACCGGTTGAAGGATGAAATAACTCCAATAGCCTGCTCAATGAATGACGGCTCTTCTGCTCCAGGCCCACCCCCTCCCGATGCTGCCATATACATATCCTGCCCACATGGAAAGCAAAAACAATGATGTGCATGAGTATAGGTGTGAGAGGCACTACCTACTAACCTAGTCATAACATGACAAAACTCACCTCAATATCGTCGATGTTTGGTTTTGACCCTTGTTGCCGCAACAGAATGTATCGGCCAGGCTCATTAGGGTCATCAAGGTACAACTGCCAGGGGCTGCCAGGAGAGCAATCAGGGGATCAATAAACATTCAATATCTCCACAGCTTGATCATGGGTTGCAACATAGAAGGGATGAACGGAAGGCTGCTACTATGCATACCAGAGCTCCTAGACGGCAGAAAGAAAAAACGAAGGAAAACAACAAGCGAGAACACACACGAAGGGTGGAACACGAAAGGAACTTTCAATGTGCACTCAACACAGCCCACACTCTACTCACTTGGGGAACCGCCGGTAAATCGCTCCCACCGGCAGCGGGTGCAGGCAGAAGGCGGCCGTAAACGTGGAGTCTAGTTATGAGGCACCTCAAAACTCAACACAGTCCTCTCTCTACTCTACTCACTTGGGGTACCGCCGGTAGATTGCTCCCACCGGCAGCGGGCGCAGGCAGAACGCGGTCGTAAACGTCGACAGAAACCGCTCCCTCAGCCGGCGCACATTGAGCCCCACGCCCACATCCCCGCTGACCAGCCGCGGGTTATACATGATCAGCGGGCGGGTCAAACCGTCCTCTGTGGCCAGCATGCCGCCTATGGACTCGACCACGCTGAGCTGCTGGTACTCGGGGGTGATGAGCACGACCACGTCGTCCTGCTCCTGCACCGGCTTGCGGTCCATGAGGCTGGAGAAGGCAAACGGCGCGTCGGGCCACTGGTTCTTGAGGAGTGCTGCCGAGCCTGCATCCGGGAATATGGCCCTCACGTTCTGGTGGAAGGGAGGTGTGCGTGGTGGGGATGGGGAGGGGGGAGGAGAGGGAGAGAGTTCGGAGAAGGAGAAGAGGCTCATAGACGAGGCATGTTCCGGTTCCACCGCAGTTGACCTGACTTCACCGCACTGCGCCCAACGCTGAAATGCTGGTACTCTGGAGAAGGGAAAATGGAACTCACGTTCTGAAAGGGGGGTGGGGGGAAGGGGGGGATGGGGAAGAGGAGGGAGAGGGAAGAGTGAGAGGGATGGGAGAGAGGGGAGAGAGTTCGGAGAGAGAGGATAGGCTCATAGACTAGGCCTGCAGCTGACCAGACTGCATCGCACTGCACCATGATGCTAAGCTGGCCTTCACTGCAGCCACCCTGGCTGCACCGCACTATGCCGTGCTGCATCACATTGCACCGCACTGCACCAAGCCTCACCTCGAAGTCGAGGTGGCCCTTTAGAGATTCGAGGAAGGTGCAGCTGGTGTCCCACAGCAGCTGCTGCAGCTCATGTGGATTCACCTGGCTTCACCGCACCGCACAACACTGCACCACGTCTCACCTCGAAGTCGAGGTGACCCTTAAGAGATTCGAGGAAGGTGCGGCTGGTGTCCCACAGCAGCTGCTGAGCGCCCTCATCCGACTTGATCTCCAGATCAGGCACCAGCAGCTCCACCTGCCAGCAGAACACAGGTGTGTGGGCCATGGTATGATTGGGAGGAGTGGGAGATGGGACGCATGGGAGAAATTATGGGATTGTCGAGTTACATCACACTAGCTTGATCTCCAGATCCGGCACCAGCAGCTCCACCTGGCCACGGGGAAGCGGGGGAGGAGTGAGAGAAATGGGAGGAATGGGAGGAGTCGAGGAGTGGGAGGGGGATTAGGAACAGAGAACCGCACTGCACCACTCCAACTGTGTCTCAAGATCTGGCACCAACAGCCCCAATGGGTAGAGAGCAGAGGTCTCATGAGGGATGTGTGTGTAGGCCGTTTTGTGCAAAAGCAGCAACTTCGGTCTGTGTGCCAGCTTGCTAGTGCAAGGGCGCATGTGGGGGAGGCTTCAACCTGTGCGGCATGTCTTGAGCGCACACAGGGCTGGTAATACCTCCCCCGACCCCCTCCTCCCCACCATCCTGTCTGTCCGAGGAGAGAGAGGAGGGAGAGGGGGAAAGAGGGCCTCTATGTCCGCGGGATGGAGAGGAAGCTTCCTTCCTCCCCGATTCTTGCGCTCTCCCCAACGAGACTCAGTGGGGGTCGCTCGGCCATTCCCGCGGCTCTGACTCGTCTCATGGGTAAGACAGTCAGTTCAAGTAGTCCGAAACTAATGTTTGGAATTCTAAATATTCAGCTGGATTATAACCTTCTATTGGTACTGTTTGAGCTCACATCACAGTGGCGCTGCTGTTGCTACAGCGGAGTGTTCAGCGCCAGCCCCACTCACAATGGCGCGGGTGCCGCCTCCGTTGCAGAAGTAAGCCGCAGATTCCCCTGCTTGGCGCACAGCGCCGTCCAGGTCCGTCGGGAGCACGCTGCGAGACACAAGAAGGGGAAGGCGAGGTACAGGAAGGGGAAGGAGAGGGGAATCGACTTTTGAGTCGACTCATAAGTCAACACGCTGACTGCCCTGCTTGGCGCGCAGCGCCGTCCAGGTCCGTTGGGAGCACGCTGCGAGGCAGACGAGGAGGCAGCGGAGGGGGAAAACGAGGACGGGGAAATCGAGGCGGACTAGACCCAGAAGGCGATAAGAAGATAACAACCAGATACGATTGCATTATGAAAGCCAATGTATTATGATAGCATGAAAGCATGAGTGTGTGAATATCCAACGGAACGGGGCCAGGTTCGGGAGAAGTGACTCACTCGTCGTCGCGTCCTCCCGCGTTCCGCTCCTCTGCGGCTCCCTCCGCGGCGGCCGCAACGGCTGCGCCGTTCTCCTCCGCGCTCGCCGGCGCAACGGCTGCGCCGTCCGCCTCCTGCGCCTCCCCCACCGACTGGTTGAAGCCCTGAAACTTGGCGCGCGCAACTAGGCGGGACCCACGGGGCGTGGCGGAGAGACTCCTCGGAGCAGCAAATGAAGCATCCTGAAACTCCAGGAAAGGAGGAAAGGCACGGATAATAGTGATTCAAGGTGAGGATCGGTAACGTAACTCTTGCGAAACCCTAGAAAACAAACAGTACTAATCAACCGGCGATGCTGTGAGGATCCACAAACATTGGGGTGAGCACTCTTTTCGAATAGAAAAGAAAGAAATAAATTAATAAACAAGGATAGTCTTGTGCAGACCCACCGCAGATAGGCATGGGCACAGCAACGCATTTTGTCGCATTCAATCCAAACCTCAGGGAAGCTTAGAAATTTGTTTTGGCGCGACAGAACGACAGTATCTTTGGCGCATCAGAACGAGGATCCACATACATTGGCGCAGCAACGCGAGTTCTCGGCGCCCGACCCGGCGGTGACTCCCGAGGTCAGCGCGCTGGAGACGGCGAGCCGCCACGCAGCGGGAGGTGCGGCAGCCAGAGCCATGGCGGACGTTTCGTTGACCAACAAATTTTGTCAGTCACAAGGAATACTAATTTTATCACCTGGAAACTGACTGGAGGTGAACTCCGATTTTAATGCTCATTGAGGCAGCTCTTGGGAAGTGGATGAGGAATGCCGCCAGCCAGTCACGCTCGCACAGCTGATCCCTGCTGGTGCTGGACTACATCGCGATCACAAGTTTTGATGGTCATGCGAGAACACTGTAGTGTAGGTACTATGGCCGAACGACAATAAGGTGAATAATACTAAATTGCACCTCATGCCATGTTGCAAAATGGTGATTACCAGGTGCGCAAATCAGGAGGGATGGCAGAGACCCAAGTGCAGGCTGATTCGTTTGCCTGATATACCTTATTCCACTATTTCCAAAGACGTCGCAAAAGCGCAAATCGTCTCAGATACCGTATTTGCAACAATACCGTACGGTGCACACCGACCTCTCGGACAACGCAATTATTTAGAGGCAAGGATATCTCTCTCTATTTTATTCAACTATGCGGGAGGCTAGGCATCCAAACACAGCTGCTAATCCCGTTCATTCAGAAAGCAACAGGTGTGCCCTTTCCAGCATCACTTCGACCCTTAGGCGCCTTCAATGAAAGAATGCTGTCTGGAATGACCAGAATCAGGTATGCCACGCCGAACATGCCCACGCACGCGCCGCAGACCCAGTAGCACCACTGCAGGAGGAAAGGCAGGGGAGAAAGCAGAAACAGTGCATGGAAACACCCAACCCAGCCACTTTCTTCCGAACCTCCTCCCCCACCACACCCGTTCAGGCCCTCTCCCTCACTAGCTCTTGTGAAACACTAGAATATAAAACAGCAAGTAGCGTGTCCCAAAGACTCACCGTAACATTTTGCATGAACTTGGTGTGGTAGAGGTCGATGCCCAGGAACATGGCCGCCCATGCAAGCCCAATGGTTGTAGCGCCAACCAAGCAATGTACCACAAGCCACTTGAACCGGTTTGGAGCAGTCTTATCCGGTCGCATCAACCCCACAACAGCCTGCGCCAGCGCGAGAATCACCGCCGCCAACCCCACCTTCCCGTGCGTCCAGTTCAGACCCTTTGAGCCAGATACAACAAAGATCACCACTGTTCCCGACAGTGCGACCGCGAGCGCAAACAGCTGAATGCCCCGATGAAGCTGGAACCCCAGTGGCCGGTAGCAGGGGTGAGATTTGAGGAGAGTGCTGTCCGGGCGGTCGGCGAGGAGGAGGCGGGCGAGGAGGATGGCGAGGGGCATGAGGAGGGCGAAGGTGATGGAGAGGAGAGCCCCATGGGCGATGTACGCCGCTGTGCTGCTGCCCTCGCCTGCTGTGGTCGTACCCTTGATGAAATCGATCGAGGCTGATCCGCTGGCGGGATTAGCATGGGGCATACAGCGGAGGGGAGGGGAGGGGAGGGGTTTACGAATCATGTAGGCCGCTGTGCTACTGCCCTCGCCTGCTGTGGTTGTGCCCTTGATGAAACCGATTGAGGCTGACCCGCTGGGGTGTTAAGAAGGGAGGATATTCGGGACAGGGGTTGGGAGAGGCAGGGGGGATAAGTGCGTTGACAGGTAAATCAGACCGATGGGCACGGGTGAGCGTGGCAAGGAGGAAGGAGGAGTTGGCAGGAGTTTGGGGGGGTGGAGGGGTGGGGGTAAACGGGGGGGAAGGAGGGGAATGGGCCTGGGGGGGAAGAGTGGAGAATGCTTGACTTACCATGCTAAGCCATGCCACTGTGACGCTCACAAGTTGCTGGCGTGGAAAGCGAGGGAGGTGGAGCCATCAAGCGAGGGAGGTGGAGCCATCAAGCGAGGGAGGTGGAGCCATCAAGCGAGGGAGGTGGAGCCATCAAGCAAGGGAGGTGGAGCCATCAAGCGAGTAGGCCCAGATGATGGTGGTGGTGGTGGCTGCATGCATGCCACTCCCACACCATGGGACACATAGGCCATGCCATGCACTGCAATGAAATGCCACGCCAGGCCACGCCATGCCACACCATGGAACACCATGGCACACCATGGCACACCATGGCACACCATGACATACCATGACATACCATGACATACCATGACATACCATGACATACCATGACATACCATGACATACCATGGCACACCATAGTGCAAAAAGGCCATGCCATGCAGTTGCTGGCGTGGAAGGCGAGGGTGGGCCCAGATGATGGTGGTGGGGAAGTTATCAGGCGACTAGGACATGCCATGCCATGCCATGCAGTGCAATCGCTAGCGACTCACTAGTTGCTGGAGTGGAAAGCGAGGGTGGTGGAGCCATCAGGCGAGTAGGCCCAGATGATGGTGGTGGGACCATGTGGGTTGATGGGCACATGCCCCGTGCCCATGCTGCGCGTGAACCTGGGGGGAGGGAGTAGAAGAGCGAGAGAAACGGTCGCATTGGTGATGTCACGCGTGTCACAACATCCAGAAATAACTTAGTCTGCCCATCTCAATGGTGTAACCGTTTTGGCTGGTAACCAACGTGTTGGCAACACTCCCCATGGGTGTAGGCTGCACCGACTGTGACTCATGCCCCGCATATGGAATACGCCCTCTCGCTCCTTACTGTGCTGACTCACTTGATTATAGTGTATCCATTTGCAGTGGTAACCGACGTGTCGGTAACCTTCCACGTGTCAGTTTGCTGCACCGACCCCACGTCACGCCCGCTCATGTAATACGGCCCCACCGACGCCCCATTGGCCAGCGTGCCAGGTGGCACGTTCCCAATGGCTGCGTCAGAGTTGATCATCTGGCCGTCTTTGGAGAAGCCAATGCCGATGTAGCCCGTGGTGGCAACTTGCGCTGCCACGCTCACTGTGCTGTCCTTGTTGACCGCCCAGTGCAGAATGTAGCTGCATCAGACAAGGAGGGGAAGAGAGAGGAGGCAGAGAGGGGGAGAGAGAGGAGGCAGAGAGGGGGAGAGAGAGGAGGCAGAGAGGGAGAGCGATGAGGACAAGAGATTTTCAAGGCGAGCGAAGGCTCACTGTGCTTTCCTTGTTAACCGCCCAGTGTGGGATGTAGCTGGGGGGAAGAGGAGGGTAGGGGAGGAAAGGCAGAGGCGGGAGAGGATCGGGACAAGGAGAGGAGTCACGTCTCACTGTGCTCTCATCTCACGTCTCACCTTTTCTCATCCTCATGCAGGACGTGGCTGGATGAGAAAAAGGCGTGAGGGGAGGTTCAGGAGAAGGAGAGAAGCGACGGCGAGAGTGAATGCAGGCACCTGCGCTGCCATGCTCGCTGTGCTGCACCTGAAACAGCGCAGCAGTGAGCAGAGCAGAGCAGAGCAGAGCAGAGCAGAGCAGAGAAGAGCAGGCCAGTTGCAGATACTCCACACTCACGCGTTTTGCCTGAGCTGGGTGGAACAGGTGTATTCCGGGAGGGAGGAGGGGTGGCAGGCTGGCCCCTGTGACTGGGTGGAGGACGAACCACTGCTGCTGCTGCTACCGCTGCCGCTGTTGCTGCTCCCCGTGCTGCCAGTGCTGCCCGTATTGCCGGTGCTGCCAGTGCCGCCGGTGCTGCCTGTGTTGCCGGTGCTGCCTGTGTTGCCGGTGCTGCCTGTGTTGCCGGTGTTGCCAGTGTTGCCGGTGTTGCCGGTGTTGCCGGTGTTTCCAGTGTTGCCGGTGTTGCCGGTGTTGCCAGTGTTGCCGGTGCTTCCCGTGCTGCCGCCACCGCTGCCGGTGGAAGAAGGGCAGCTGTAGTCTATCGCCTGGGATCCCCTGTGAGGAGGAGAAAACACAAAGAGAAGGGTGTAGATGGGTATAGGACGATTAGACGGGTGTAGAAGGGTATGGAAAGGCATGCGGGCATTTAGAAGCGTACACAAGGGTATATATAGATGGGTACACAAGCATGGAGAACACGGAAATATAATATATATGTGTATATAAATATAAATGTAGGGTAATATATAAATCTAGGGTTCTGGGAGATGCTGGGAGGTTCTCGGAGATCCTGGTGGGTTCTGCAAGGCTCGTACATGTTACTCATAGGGTGCTGGGCGAGGGTCTGAGAGCTGCCCGAGTAGGCCCAGATCATGTAGTTGACTCCCTTGCGCAGCACCTTCACATTGCCATCCTTCACTGACCGGGAGAACCTGCAAATGAGAAGTGCAATGAAGGATACATTCTCATGTGCATGGACTAGTGAGAATTGAGTATACCGGAGGGGGTTACTGATATTATGGATGTAAATACAGGAAGGAACACATTGTGTGATGAATGAATTGATTAAAAACCGGTGCTTCAATAATTAGGCTACTGTGACAGCAGTGGAAAAAGGAGCTCAGATTCAAGAAGGGACAGCTAGGGACGATCATGTAACCACTCTTATCGAAGCTAAGTTTCGCTGCAAGCACTGACCTACAATAGCATGGCCCAATCCAGAAAAAAAGAGAGACAAAGAACACTTCAGATGTGTTGAAAAGCTCACTCACTTCATAATGAGCGAGTTATCGGCGTTCGTACTCAACGCGGCAGCGCTCCCGATGCTGAATTTCTTGGTTGGAAGCACCTGATCCAGCATCGGGTTTTCCAGATAATACGTGTCCATTGTCCCGCCTGGCAAATTGCCGATCACCGCATCCCCCGGCACCATCCTGCCGGATGAACCCGACCATCCGACGGCGAACCAGCCGGCTGCAACCTGCCCGGCAAGTGCTTGCGCGGCGAAGTTGACGGTTGTGGAATTGACGGTCTTCCAGTGAAGGATGAGACTGACACGCGGCGAGACGGACGGAGGGACGGAAGGGAGGTTGAGGAGCCTATGGACGAAAAGTTGCAAATTCGAGTTTTTGAAAACAACTAACAACTTTGTGTGACGTCTCTATTCGAGTTTTGAGGAGCCTATATTCGTGGGGTCTCGCCGCGGGTGGACACGACTGCCAGTTGAGGGTTAGAAGGTGACGGTGAACGACTCATTCACGGTAAATGAACGGACGGAATGATTCAGTTTGACGGAGGACGGATTCAGGCATAGACGACAAGCCACGAGATCATTACCTTCCGTCCTTCAATTTGACAGAGTGTTTGTACTCCGGCAGAGACGACGAGTCGCACGTCGCACCGCTGTCGCCCTGTGCGGCGACGAAAGCCGCGAAAGGCGCCAGAGTCGCAAGGCACGCAGACAGGAGCACGGCTTGCAGTTTGTTGAACCGTGTCGGCGTCATCTGGTGTGTTGATATACGGCTAAAAACAAACAAATTGGTTAGAATTCGTAGTCCTTCGACTTCTGCAGTGAATAATGAGTAAATCAAAGTCCTATGATGGAAATTTTGGTCGCGTAAGCAACGCCGCTGAACGTCGTACTGTTGCGTTCTATTGTTAAGTTTATCGTCGGAAGAATGGACAGCGTACTGCTGCTTCACAGTGCAAGCGAGAAAGATAACAGTCTTCACGATAATTATAGGACGTCATGGCTTGTCCAGGCTGATAGTAGGTCTCTTAGCTGCTGCTATCTTCAATAATCGTGTGAGTGTCTGGGACAGCTGAATTTAGTATCTTCTAGGCGCTGAATTCATGAGATGTATGGGGTGTGTCACGTGTGCTCCTTTCATACGGCGAGGTCCGATAATGTGCATTTAGGAGCGGTTTCTGGTCCGTTTCTCTACGTTGGGTAGGGTTTCTAAGCAAAGCGATGGGAGGTGCGTGCATGGAGCTTTGGGAATTGCGCGACACGGTGGCCGTTTTGTTCAATTCGTGTTGAATCAGTGAAAACATGACGGGTATCACGCCATCCAGTAACGGTTATATTCTGGATGGGTTGGGTAAGGTTGGAATAGTGCAAAATGGACAGCTGATATGCTAAAATGATCATATTTACATTGATAAGCTAAAATATTTGTAGGAAAATCACGTGCTCTATTTATTAATTATCGAGAAGCAACAATGCAAGGTGCAAACGCACTCATGCACTTGAGCTGTCGTGACCAACCAAAACCATTAGGTTCTCTTTCCATTTCACGTGCTCTATAAGATGAAGCACTCCACCAGGTTCCAACAACACTACCGGTATAAGCTGCTAGGCTAGCCTCTGAACACTCCATTACCATGGTTTAAATATTATGGCCATCAGCAACCGAGCTAACACACGTCATTGTAAATAGTGTGCTTCACACATCACACAAACAACACTGCAATAAATCAACGAGATGAAGGATTCACCCCTACTTTATTAGGCGCAACGCGCGTCAAACGGCTTATGCACACAAACAGCACATTTGCCGTGGAGCCCTTCCATTTAGAAAGCAGCAGGTGTGCCTGTGCCCTTTCCGTCATCTCCATGATCCTTGCGCCCCTTCAATGAAAGAATGCTGTCCGGAATGACCAACACCAGGTATGCCACGCCGAACACGCCCACACACACGCCACAGACCCAGTAGCACCACTGCAGGATACACAGGAGGAAGGATGCAATAAGATTGGAGAGGTATTAGTGCATTCTTGAATTCAGCATCTTGCAGAGTTTCTCCTTTCGCATCCCTCAATCCAGACCCTGTCCCTCTCACCAGCTCTCTTGCTGAAGAACGAACCGTAGTAGAAATAACAACAATAATGATTTACGATAGAAACGTCGGCCGAAACAACATTGGAAAAATGATGAAGATGATGGCGACAACGTCAACAACAACGATTACTACAATGATAATGATAAAAACTACAGTGGAGATACATACATGTTCCAAATACTCACCGTGACGTTTTCCATGAACTTGCTGTGATAAAGATCGATACCCAGGAACATGGCGGCCCATGCAAGCGCAATGGTAGTAGCGCCAATCAAGCAGTGCGCCACCAGCCACATGAAGCGGTTCGGCGCGGTTTTATCCGGTCGCACAAACCCCACAATAGCCTGCACCAGCGCGAGAATGACCGCCGCTAGTCCCACCTGCCCATGCGTCCAGTTCAACCCTTTGGACCCCGCCTGCATGATAATCACAATCATCCCCGCCACCGCCACCACCAGCGCAAACACCTGAATGCCCCGATGCAACTGGAACCCCATCGGCCGCAGGTTCTTTGCGGACTGCTGCTGCTGGGGTGACGGTGCGATCCCATCGGCGTTGGCATGAATGTATGAAGCATGGTTGAGGTTGAGAGGGGCACCATCGGGGCGGTCGGCAAGGAGGAGGCGAGCGAGGAGGATGGCGAGGGGCATGAGGAGAGCGAAGGCGATGGAGAGGAGTGCCCCGTGGGCGATGTACGCCGCTGTGCTGCTGCCGTGCCCGCCTGACACCGTGCCCTTGACGAAATCGATTGAGGCGGAGCCGCTGGGGGGTATAGCAGGAGACATATGGGGGGAGATGGTGGGAGGGACATGGCATGAAGGCGACCGCGGTGGTGCCAGGGGGTGGGATCTAGGGATGTTGGGCGCAGGTGATGGAGAGGAGTGCCCCGTGGGCGATGTACGCCGCTGTGCTGCTGCCGTGCCCGCCTGACACCGTGCCCTTGATGAAATCTATGGAGGCGGAGCCGCTGGGGTTGGGAGGGGAGGGAGGGGACATATGAGGCAAAGGGGGGAATTACATATCATGTACGCCCCGCTGTGCTGCTGCTGTGCCCGCCCGACACCGTGCCCTTGACAAAGTTGATTGAGGCTGAGCCGCTGGGGTAGGGGAGAGAGGGAGACGCAGGGGAAGGAAAGGGAAGGGAGGGGGTTGGATATCATGTAGGCTGATATGCTGCTGCTGATATGCTGCTGCTGATGTGCTGCTGCTGATATGCTGCTGCTGATGTGCTGCTGCTGATATGCTGCTGCTGATATGCTGCTGCTGATATGCTGCTGCTGATATGCTGCTGCTGATATGCTGCTGCTGTGCCCTCGACAAAATCGATTGAGGCTGAGCCGCTGGGGTGGGGAAGCAGGAGGGGGTGGGGGGGGGTCATGGGAGGGAAGAGCAGTGGCTCTATGCATGCCAGTTCATGTGATGCCATGGACGGGTTCAATTTTATGCCATGCAATGCAACATACGCCATGGAATGTCACGCCATGGAACGTCACGTCATGCCATGCTAAGCCATGCTAAGCCATGCCACCCCATGCCAAAGCCATGTCACCCCATGGGAATGCCATGTCACCCCATGCCATGCCACCCCATGCCAACCCCATGCCACGTGATGCCAGGTCACCAATAATGCCACGCAGTAACGCGACTCACTAGTTGCTGCGGTGGTCAGCGAGGGTGGTGGAGCCATCAGGCGAGTAGGCCCAGATGATGGTGGTGGGGCCAAACGCATTGATGGGCACATGCCCCGTTCCCATGCTGCGCGTGAACCTGCAGGAGAGGGGAAAGGGGGGTAGGGGGGAATAGGGAGGGGATGGCTTGAACAATCAGAACAGAAACACATTGATGGGCACATGCCCCGTTCCCATGCTGCGCGTAAACCAGGGGGGAGGGCATGAGGGAGCGGGACGGTTAATAGAGAGCAGGAAGGTAGGGACGAGAGGGAAAGAACAGAAATGCATTGATGGGCACATGCCCCGTGCCCACGCTGCGCGTGAACCTGGGGAAAAGGGAGAGAGAGGCATTGAAACCGATAACGGATGAGAACAGACTCAAAAGGTAATGAGAGGCAGGATGGCACAAGCGGGAAGGCGCTGACACATGAGGAAAGGCTGTTGATCATTGTATTTTACACCTACCTCATGACAAAGTGCTCATCAGCAGTTGCGACATGGGCGTTGGTGAACTGCCTCGAGGAGATCCGAATACTTTCTCGTATTAACAGACAGTTTTCGACACGTGTGTGCATCTCATCTGCTCATCCTTTGACCTTACCGGATAATTGTGTAACCATTTTGACTGGTAACCGATGTATTGGTAACGCTCGCTCCACATGGTCGTCGGCTCACGGACAGCAGATCATGCCCACTCATGTGGTACGGTCCCACATCTCATGGCTGCTAGCATGGTCCCACATCGCATCTTCCTCACCTTATAATGGTGTAGCCGTTTTGACTGGTAACTGATGTATTTGTAACGCTCCACATGGCCGTCAGCTGCACCGATTGCAGATCGTGCCCGCTCATGTAATACGGCCCCACCGCTCAAGGCTGCTACTAGTGAGGCCCCACATCTCATAGCCACGTGAAATGAGTGTATTTTTGAGACATCATTTCACATCGCCATGTAATACGGCCCGACCTCTCAAGGCTGCTACTACGGCCCCACATCTCATCATCCTTACCTGGTAATGGTGTATCCGTTTTGGCTGGTAACCGAAGTGTTGGTAACGCTCCACATGGCTGTAGGCTGTACCGACTGCAGGTCGTGCCCGCTTATGTGTAGTTTATCTATAATGCTTAATCACTCACTTAATTATAGTGTTTCCAGTTGTAGTGGTAACTGAAGTGTTGGTAACGCTCCACACGGCTGTAGGCTGCACCGACTGCAGCTCATGCCCGTTCATGTGTAGTGTATGTATGAATAATGTATACTCACTTCATTATAGTGTATCCGTTTGCAGTGGTAACCGATGTGTTCGTAACACTCCACATGGCTGTAGGAGTCACGGACTGCAGTTCATGCCCGTTCATGTAATACGGCCCCACCGCCGCCCCGTTGGCCAGCGTGCCAGGTGGCACGTTCCCAATGGCCGCGTCAGAGTTGGGCATCTTGCCATCCTTTGAAAAGCCGACTCCAATGTAGCCTGTGGTGGCGACTTGTGCTGCCATGCTCACTGTGCTGTCCTTGTTGACCACCCAGTGCAGGATGTAGCTGGCGGGGTAAGAGGAGGGGCGGGATGGGAGCGTGGGGAATGAGGAGAGAAGCGAAGCGAGGGCGAGAGAAGGAGTGAAATGCAGCCCACTTTGCTGCCATGCTCACTGTGCTGTCCTTGTTGACCGCCCAGTGCAGGATGCAGCTGTAAGGAACGGAGGCAGAGGGAGGGAAGGCAGAGGGAGGGGAGGCAGAGGGGGGAGGGTGGCGACACGGAGAAAGAGAGTGTCAAGAGCGACGACGAGAGGGTCGGGGAGCAGCTATAGCGTTGTAGGGAGGTGCGGCGAGAAGGAAAGGTGAGGATTTTACAAGGTAACTGCGTCCCAGCATACGCCAACACAACAGCAAACCTGCTGCCATACTCCGTATTACTTTTCCAGCAGTTACAAAACAAAACCCCATTCCACTGAACTGAGCGGAGCACTTGTTTGTCGGGGAAAGAGAAACTGCTCATACTCAGAGAAACGGTTGAGATAGATACACCCCATGCACGCTTTCACACTGAGGTGACTTCTGAGTCGACTCAAAAGAGAAACGGTTGAGATAGATGCACCCCATGCACGCTTTCCCACTGAGGTGACTTCTGAGTCGACTCAAAAGAGAAACGGTTGAGATAGATACACCCCATGCACGCTTTCCCACTGAGGTGACTTCTGAGTCGACTCAAAAGAGAAACGGTTGAGATACACCCCATGCACGCTTTCCCACTGAGGTGACTTCTGAGTCGACTCAAAAGAGAAACGGTTGAGATACACCCCATGCACGCTTTCCCACTGAGGTGACTTCTGAGTCGACTCAAAAGAGAAACGGTTGAGATACACCCCATGCACGCTTTCCCACTGAGGTGACTTCTGAGTCGACTCAAAAGAGAAACGGTTGAGATAGATACACCTCATGCACTCTTTCCCACTGAGCTTAGTGGAGCACTTGTAGCCCGGGAGGGAGGCCGACTATTTATACTCGAAAGAAACAGCTCAGATGCTCTGCGTGGCACTCACGCATTCCCGCTGAGCTTAGTGGAGCACTTGTAGCCCGCGAGGGAGGAGGGCTGGCAGGCGGAGCCCTGGGAGGAGGAGGACCCGCTGCTGCTGCTGCCACTGCTGCCAGACGTGGAGCAGCTGTAGTCTATCTGCACGGATCCCCTGGTGGGCGGACACGACAGGGAGGGGAGAGGAGAAGAGGGTGTGAGGCGAAGAGGGAAGAGTGTTGGCAGGCAGACCCCTGGGAGGAGGAGGACCCGCTGCTGCTGCCACTGCTTCCAGACGCGGAACAGCTGTAGTCTATCTGCACGGATCCCCTGGTGGGCGGAAACGGGAGGCAAGAGGGAGGGAAGAGGAAGGGAAGAGGAAGGGAGAAGGAAGGGAAGAAGGGGTGTGAGGTGAAGGAGAGGGTGAGTGGGAGGAGGGGGACCCGCTGCTGCTGCCAGACGTGGAGGAGCTGTAGTCTATCTGCACGGATTCCCTGGTGGATGGGAGGAGGAGGAAAGAGGAAGGGAGGAGGAAGGGAGGAGGAGGGAAGAGGAAGGGAGGAGGAAAGGAAGAGGAAGGGAAGAGGAAGGGAGGAGGAAGGGAGGAGGAAGGGAGGAGGAAGGGAGGAGTAAGGGAAGAGGGCGTGAATGAGGTGCAGGTGACGGTGTCAGAGGTGCTGTGTGCATTCACGTGCTGTGTGCATTCACATGCTGTGTGCATTCACATGCTGTGTGCGTTCACGTGCTGTGTGCATTCACATGCTGTGTGCATTCACGTGCTGTGTGCATTCACGTGCGTCAGCCTGGTGTGCCAGCCTGGCACGTCAGCATGTGCACCCGCCCGAGCGTACTTCACATCACATACATGCTTCAGCTCGGAAAAAAACAGAGAGGGTGTTGGATGTGAAGTGCTGTGTGCACTCACGTGCGTCAGCCAGGTGCGTCAGCACACTTCACTTACATGCTTCGGTTCAAGAAATGATAGAGACACTGCCACTGGGGAACTCTGCCATGGGTTGGGGGGTTCTAGGGGGTTCTTGAGGGGTTGGTGCGTTCTAGGCGGTTCTGGGTGGTTCTGGGAGGTTATGGGGGTGGGGGGTGCGTATATGTTTGAGCGAGGGTGCTGGGCGAGGGTCTGAGAGCCGTCCGAGTAGGCCCAGATCATGTAGTTGATCTCCCTTGAGCAGCACCTTCACTGTGCCGTCGTTCACTGACCAAGCTGGGACGTTCTCGGGGGTTTTGTGCGGTTCTGGGACGTTCTGGGTAGTTCCGGGAGCTTCTAGGGAGGTTCTGAACGGTTCTGGGGGGTGCTTACATGTTGGAGCGGGGGTGCTTACATGTTGGAGCGGGGGTGCTTACATGTTGGAGCGGGGGTGCTGCGAGAGGGTCTGAGATCCATCCGAGTAGGCCCAGATCATGTAGTTGACTCCCTTGAGCAGCACCTTCACTGTGCCGTCATTTACTGACCGCGAGAACCTGCAGTCGGGCACACAAACGAGGAGCACAATAACGGGTACAACAAGTGCACATGTTGGATCTGGATTGTTGGAAAAGGAACTGCAAGTTGTTAAAAAGAGACAGACTGAGAGAGTGAGGGCCATCGGCCATCAAGAGAGCACATGGGAATCGGCGAGCAGCACATTATAGGGTGTCCCTGGGAATGTGCAGCGAATTCAAGGGTATCCAGTGAAACATGCAGCGCATTTGAGCGCGTCCCTGCAGCGGATTCAAGAGTATGCAGTGAAACGTGCAGCGCATTTGCGGTGAATCAGAAGGCATCATGACTAACGCGCAGCACAAAAGCAGCTCACCTTCATGATGGGCGAATTGTCCGCGTGCGCGGTCAATGTGTATGTGGCCTCCTCGGATGCATGCGAAATCCGACTCTTAGTGTGCTGTGCTACTTGGAAAGAAAAGAATCAATCACTTCACGGTAATCGAATTGTTTTTGAGACGTCTCAAAAACACCCTCATTTCACGTAATCACTCACTTCATGGTAATTGAATTGTTTTTGAGACGTCTCAAAAACACCCTCATTTCACCTAATCACTCACTTCATGGTGATTGAATTGTCCGCGTTCGTGTTCATCATGGCCTCGGTCCCGGCATTCCCAATGCTGAAGTTAAGCGTGGGAACCACCTCAGCCATGGAGTAGTAGCCCAAGTAATAAGGATTCATTTTCCCGCCTGGCAGATTGCCGATCACCGCTTCTCCCGGGATCATCCTGCCGGACGAACCCGACCATCCGACGGCGAACCAGCCATCTGCAACCGGCCCGGCAAGCGCTTGCGCGGCGAAGTTGACGGTTGTGGAGTTGACGGTCTTCCAGTGAAGGACGAGACTGACGCGCGGCGAGACGGGGAGAGGGGAGGAAGAGGGGAGGGTACACGGGGTAGCGAGATGGAAGGATAAGAACAATTGACCTGGAGAGATTGAAGAAACGAAGGGGAGTTCAATGACAGGCAATTTAATTCGAGATCGTTTGTGAATGGTAAGGTTTTACCCGCGATCGTTTAATTTGACGGAATAATCGTAGTCCGGCAAAGACGACGGGTCGCACTTCACGCCGCCATATCCTCCTCCTCCTCCCCCGCCGCCGCTATTGTCATCACCGCCGCCTTCTGAGCCATCGTACTGTGCGGCCACTAGAGCCCTGAACGGCAGCGCCGACAGACACGACACGAGGACGACTAGTAGCATGGATCTCTGAGTTAAAGTCATCGCGTGCGTATTCCCAGCGTAGGCGATCAAATTGAAATTGTTGTGCGTATTTCAGGAGTTGAAATTGTTGTGATTGGACCACGGAAAGAGTAGCTTGGATGACGCTGACCTCTCAGTCCCAAACACGTATTGAGGTGATAAAAACTTTTTGGGATGAAGGATAAAACTTTGCTAGGAACACGAACAATGACGAAACGTCAGGGAAAAACCAAGGCTGTCGAGGAACAATGCGTTTTGCTGCGACTGGTCCTGAACCGGCTCCAATAATGGCGCGAGCCTGCTTTCGACTGTCACGCAGCAGCAGCAACAAGAGGCCAGCGGGATGCACGGTGGTGAGGTGACCACACAAGTGCAGCACGAGAGGAGGGAGAAATCGAGTAAAGGTTTGGACATTAGGCTGGTATGGAATGGTACGGAACGTTATAGAAAGGTGGGATGGGATTCTGGAATTGCAGGACTATCTCTATGTACGACACGATCCCGTTCAGTCTTGTTCGGCACGGCATGCCTAGCTCCCACCAGGCTTGGTCAAGAACCTAGACCATCTACAGGTCCGGCAGTAACGAAGGTTCGGGCATTCAGCAAACCGTTACTGTCTCGCGGTGAATGTAAGTGTTACGAGTGCAATTGAGTGAACGAACGAGAAATGCACTATCTAAGCAAGAGTACAATGGGCGAAGGCATGAGCGAAGAATATATAGCGAAACTACAGTGGTAACGGTAATGGACTGTGGTTGTCGCGCAACGGGCCTGGGACTGAGGTTGGGAAAAAAGTGTCGAAGCGGAGGCCCGGAGCGCGGGTTACCCGCCGACGTGAGGTCGGGGTGCGACGTGCGAAGGTGGCGGGCGGATTGTCGATGCGAGGGTTGCGAGTGGTAACGGTGCTGACTGTGGTGCTATAGTGATGTACGCGTTGAGCAGGGATGCAAAGTAAGGAAAAGGAATTTTCCTTACACTACCCCCCCCCCCTAAGGAGGTCCTTCTTACGAAAGTGCGTATATATCCCTGAAATTTCGGCTACGCAGATACTCGGTGAGGACGGGGTGGTTTTCGATTCTGTCTAGGGGAACCCAATTGTCTTCGGTGGGTGTACGGTCCTTCCAGCGGAGTAAGAACTCGATCCTTCAGGCTCCTCGAGGGTCGCGAACTCAGTGACTCAGGATTTTTTCGGGGGTGATGATTGGTTCAGTTGGTGGTCTTGTCATGTTGGCTGGGCGATTGCGTGGCAGTTGGCTCGTGGATGGGACATAAGGGCGAAACAGGCTGACGTGGAATGAGGGGCTGACGTACCAGTCAGCAGGGAGGAGGAGGTGGGCGGTGACGGGTGTAAGCATATGGCTTATGCGAAATGGCCCGCAGTATCGGGGGCGGAGTTTCGGGGTGATGGGCAGTCGGAGGTTCTGAGTGTCAAGTAAAACTAAGTCGTCAGGCTGGTAAGTGACAGGTCTGCGGTGGCGGTCGGCGTTGCGTTTAGCGATGATGTTCGATTTTTTTATTGCGTCTATTTCCCGGGTCCGTGCCGCTTGTAATATTTCGGCAAACTGTTGTGCTCGTGGTACTGGGTTGTCGCGATTGTCAGTAGAGCTACACTGTGATATCCCCGATCGATCCTAGGGAGGGTTACACGCGCGTTTGCCTGGGGGATTATGGGCGCACCGACCCGCTACTGAAACAAGCTCTTTTATCCCAATGGTCTAGTGGTTGGGATTCTGACATGGTATCAGAGCGGTCTCGGGTTCGAATCCCGGTGTATGCACATGTTGGCCGTTGCCACTGTGCTCAGTCCTGGGCCTCCCAGTGTGGGGGGGTGTCAGTAGAGCTACACTGTGAGATCCCCGATCGATCCTAGGGAGGGTTACAGGCGCGTTTGCCTGGGGGGTTATGGGCGCACCGACCCGCTACTGAAACAAGCCCTTTTATCCCAATGGTCTAGTGGTTGGGATTCTGACAGGGATTCGGGGTCATGGGTACTGTCGGCTCTTGTCCGTAGTTTAGGTAAAATGGTGACTGTTGGGTCATGGCGGATGGTGAGTTGTACGCGAATTCGATTAGTGGCAGTTGTTGTTCCCACGTGGTCGGGTCGTCACACGTGACCCTGATGAGCTGTTCCATGGTCTGATTTGTCCGTTCTGTCTGTCCGTCGGTTTCGGGGTGGTATGATGAACTGAACTGCAGTCACGTGCCGAACTGCTGCCACAGGTTCCGCCAGAAGTTGCTGGTGAATTTCGTGTCGCGGTCGCTGATGATCGCGGCTGGTATCCCGTGCAGTCGAATGACGGTGGAGATGAAGAGGCGTGCTGTTTCTTCGGCTGTGATTGATTTTTTGCAGGCTGCGAAATGTGCCATTTTCGTCAGTCGATCGACGACGACCAGGATCGCGTCGTTTCCACTCGCCCCGGCCGGTAACCCCGTGACGAAGTCCATCGTCACCTGCTCCCAATCACGCTCTGGGGGTGGTATCGGTTGCAACTGTCCCGCCGGCCGCTGTCGTGTTGATTTCATGAGCTGACAAGTGGGACACGATGCCACATGTCGTTGTACGTCGGTCAACATTTCGGGCCAGTAATAATACCGCTGCAGCTGCTGCCGTGTTTTTTCTACTACGAAATGCCCCGAGGTAACTCTGTCGTGTGCCTCCTGTAACAGTAATTCCCGTAGCAGTGTATACCCAGGCACCCAAATGCGGTCAGTCCCGGTTTTTATGTAATAGACTCCCCTTGCTACTGCGAACTGCTGCGAATTTCCTCCTGTGAAGAATGGATCCGTTTGGTACCCGTGGGTGAATAGGCCTGTCAGTAGAGGGCTTGTCTGGGCGAGTAGTATGTCAAACTCATATGCTATAGTCTGTGTAGGTTGTAGTGGGGTACACAATATGGGGTACAACACTTTTAGGTTTTCCTACTTGTACCCACCTTCTTTCTAGTTCATTCCTTCCTCATTTCTTCACATGGTATATAGCAGGTTCCCTAGTGGGAACGCTTCATAGGGCCCACCACTTAAAATCGAAAATATATTTTTTTTTTCTGACCGGAGCGCGAGTCGCCCCTGCCCGAGGCGCGCCCCGTTGGCCGCCCTCACGTCGCGTCCCCTGCCCTTAGTGGCCTATCGCGCCCTCCTAGAGGCCCCTCTCACAGCCCCTCGCGCCACCCTTAGCGGCCCTGTCGCCACCCCTTACGGCCCCGTCGCCGTCCTTTGCGGCCCCGTCGCCGCCCCTCTAGGCCCCTCGCGGCCCCTTGGCAGCCACGTCGCCGCCCCTCTAGGCCCCTCGCGGCCCCTTCACGGCCCCGTCGCCGCCCCTAGCGGCCCCGTCCCCGCCCTTCGAGGCCCCTCGCGGCCCCTTTCGGCCCCGTCACCGCCCTAGCGGCCCCGTCGCCGCCCCTATCGGCCCCGTTGCCGCCCCTAGCGGCCCTATCGCCGCCCCTAGCGGCCCCGTCGCCGCCCTTCGCGGCCCCGTCGCCACCCTTCGCGGCCCCGTCGCCGCCCCTAGCGGCCCCGTCGCCGCCCTTCGCCGCCCCGTCGCCGCCTCTAGCGGCCCCGTCGCCGCCCTTCGCGGCCCCGTCGCCGCCTCTAGCGGCCCCGTCGCCGCCCTTCACGGCCCCGTCGCCGCCTCTAGCGGCCCCGTCTCCGCCCTTCATGCCCCCCTTCAGCCGCCAAGCAGCCGAGCCGCCGAGCCGCCGAACTGAGAAAAGTTGAACGAGAAATGGGGATGACTAAGTGAAAGTTGGGTACAAATGCAAACCCTAGAAAGCTGTACCCCATATGTGCTACCCCACTATAGCCTACAATAGCTATGTCATATATATCTGACACACCCCCATAGGCAAAGTGGGGGAGAACAAGGGGTCACAAGACCAGTCAAGCAAAGCAAAGCAAAGCAAGCTCAGGGTGGATCACAAAGTCACCACACATTCCGAGCACAAGGTCAAGGCCACAAGGCCAGTTCACATGCAGGAGTGCACATATATATATAACACTAAACAAGCAAGAGCAGGTATATATATATGCAAGAGTACAAGTAAGATCAAGAGGTGAGCAAGTGAGGTAAGACAGGTACAAGTCCCAGCTGAGTGCAGAAGCGCTGATGATCACAAGGCGGAAGTGCCTTGGTGAAAACATCAGCAGTGTTGGCCTCAGAGGCCACGTACGCAAGTCGCAACTGACCACGCTGCTGCAGCTCACGAGCAAGAAAGTAGCGGAGAGCAATGTGCTTCGTTCTGTGCTCCAAGCGCTGCTCTCGACACAAGGCCAGCATGGCCTTGTTGTCTACGTACAGCACTGGAGGAGAACGAGGCGGCTCTCCAAGGTCAGTCAGCAGGTAGGTGAGCCAGCGAAGCTCCTGAGCAGCCATGGCCCCGGCGTAGATCTCAGCCTCACAACTGGAGCCGAGAACAGAAGACGAGCGAGTAGCCCGCCACGAAACAGAGCCGGAACCAAGACTGAAGGTGTAACCCTGTGACAACCGCTGAGTAGCCTGGTCGTTAGCCCAAGAAGCGTCCGCGTGCCCAGTGAGGACCACTGGACTCCGCCCTCCAAGCACTAGCCCCATGCCCGACGTACTGCACAAGTAGCGCAACACCCTCTTCGCTGCAGCCATGTGCTCTGGTCGGTGTCTCCCAGGAGCAACATAGCGTGCAAGAATGCTAAGAGGGTATGCAAGGTCAGGTCGTGTGCAGGTCATCAGGTACATGAGGCAGCCAACAAGCTCTGGATACGGGCCACTCGACTCTACGGACTCATCCGAAGGCAGAGCTGAGAGCGAGTGGCGAGTAGACAGAGGAGTGGCCTGAGGCGAGGAGTACGTGAAGCCGAAGTGCTGAAGGACCTGCTGCACCATGTGTGACTGAGTCAAGGTAATGGTGCCTCGTGCTCTGTCCCGAGTGATCTGCCAGCCAAGGTAGCTGCGGAGTTCACCCAGGTCTGTGCACGTGTGTCTCTTCTGCAGCTCGGACTTCACGTAGGCGAGTCCAGCAGTGTCCGCTGTGGCAAAGACCAAGTCGTCA